GGAAGGCCATGTGAGGAATAACCAGGAAGAGGGTCCTCACCAAGAACCCAACCATGCTGGCACCCTGATCGCGAACTTCCAGTCTTCAGAAAGAATGAGAAATAAATGTGTGCCGTGTAAGCCACCCAGTCTATGGCAGTCTGTTACAGCAGCCCGAGCTGACTGAAGACAGGTGCCCCACACAGTGTCATCATTATCATCCCCAAAGAATTTAAGGTGAGTATACTATTTTCCAGTGTGAACTCTCTGCTCTAACCAGAGTGACAAGTAAGGTTACTATCCCCCACACCAACCTTTGAATTGAAACGCTCTCCTATGATCCTCTTTGTGCATCCAAGTCACCCAGCTGGACCCCCATCTCCTCTGCACGGGACTCCCAGACCACTGTGATTACTCTCTCCACTGACGCCACATTGCCAGCGTTAGCCATCCCATTCATTTCTCACTCAAGATGTGCTCCTGACTTTTGTGAATGAAAATGCCTGACCTCTCCAACTGGAATCCGAGCTCTGGTAGGGCAGGAAGCACATCTACACTCCGGGCTCCCCGGAGCGCTCTGCAAACAGCAGGAGCTCATGTGTTCCAGCCTCCAGGGAACAGATCCTCAATGTGACTCGACACTCGCCTCTCTGACCCCTAGTCAGAGGCCCCCCTTCCTCTTTCTGTCCCAAATCTGTTCTCCTTGCCTCCAGATGCCAGCTCACCTTTGCTCCAACAAGCTCAACAACCAGTTTGCCTTCCTACTTTGACGAAAGAAAAAAAGAAAACGAAAAAAAAGAGGCCAATCCAAAAGCAAAGTCCCCGAATTCCCTACTCCCCCTCAACCTTTCCCGACAACTTATCCAGCCTTTCCAAGCTCCATCCTGTCCTGGAAAAAAACGCCTCTGCCTCCTCCTGTCCAAGGTCAATTCGTCTCTCCTGGAAGGTCTTCTATCCCTCCAGGATCGCACTCCTCCAAATCCCCCGGTTCATCTGTAAGTGCTCTTCCCCAGGCATTACACCCACGATTCTCAGCAGAGACTTCCCCTTCCAAACAGGTCCCATCCCTTTCCTTTCTTTCTCCGCCTCGTAGCCTACATTACTGCCCCCATCTCCTCACCTCCCACTTCCTCTTCAACCACTGTAATCTGGCTTCTGTCCCATTGCAAATCACCGTAATCACTTTCTCAAAGCCCCTAGTAACCTCCGAACAGCCAAATCCAAGGCTGTGTCCTTGTCTTCTTCTATTTGCCACGTGACTCAATGGCACCTCTTCTTTGGCCTCTCTATTCTAGGCTCCAAACTGTGGAAATCGTCTACCTGGACCACCATGAGCCCCTAAATCAGATCTCCTCCTGCTTCCTTACTGGATAGCACCACTACCCAAGCAGTCATCAAAGCTAGGCACCTGGCAGTGACCACCAACTCCTCCCTCTGCCCTTCACCCCACCAATGGCACTTCTATTTCCTCTACCTCCCAGATGTCTCCAGATCTCCTCTCCTGTCCCTGCTCACACCACCGTCCTGGTGCAGGCTCTTAGCATCCTTCATACAGAGTGTTAGCTTCCCAGTAGGTCTTCCAGCCCTCCAGATCTCCACTTCCCACACTGACAGCAAAGCAATCAATCAAAAACACTGATCTGATCATTTGTTTGTTCAATAGTCACTGAGTGCTTATTATGGACTGGCACTGTTCAAGGTACTGGGGTATGTAAATAAGAGTGTGTCTCTTCTCATAGAGCTTACATTAGAGAGAAAAAGACAATATATGCATGTGTACGTACACACACAAACATACATATGTATGCACATATGTCAGGTGGTGACACATAAAGCAGGAGATGGGGGACACAGGGTGACGAGGGGTGACGAGGGGTGCCACTTTATATATGAGGCTGGGTGGAGCCTTGCAAGCCATGGTAAGGACTTTGGGTTCTACTGACTGGGGGGAATGCCACTAGAGGGTCCTGAGCAGACACGAGAAATATCTTGCCTATGTGGAAGTGACAGTGGCTGTAGCTGGGCACTGGCAGTGCAGACAACAGATTATTTCAACCGTAGACAGAACACGGTTTGCTGATAGACGGAACGTGAGTGGAGATAAAGAGCGGAGTCCAGGATGATTCCAAAGCTCATGGTCTGAGTAACGGGGAAGATGGAGCTGCCATTCACGGAGATCTAGGGGAGACTTTGGGAGCACAGGTAAGGGGATGGAGTCGAAGGAGTTGAAATTCAGAGGAGCAACTTGGACGTCTTAGAATTGAGTTGCACACTCAAGTGGAAATGTCATGTGGACAACTGGATGTTCAAGGGAAGGACTGGGCTGGAGATACAAATTTTGGAGTCTCAGGGTACAGGTGACAGCTCAACTCTTGAGACTGGGTTAGATCACACCAAGAGTGAGTGTTGACAGAGAAAAACGGAGGTTCGAGGATGACCCCTGGGCACCCCAACATTTAAAGGGGTCAGGACTAGGCCACAGACTGAGGAGGCAAGCAAGAGAATCTCTTGAAAAGTAACACATGAAAAGGAAAAGCATCTCTCTCCAAAAGGAAACTGATTTGATCTGGAAAAATCTTAACTATATTCATTGAAAAAAAACATTTGAGATATCCTTTTGTTCTCTAAGAAGCAGATATTGGGTTTGTCTTGTTTCCATATTTCAAAATAAATTCCAGACATTACAAGCACTAAAATCCCCCAATGACTTAGAAAAATGGGGCTCCTCTACAAGACTCTCGCTAGTATACGAGACCTACATTTCAAAGTCATCTTCTTGTTCCTGGTTAGCACTAGAAAGTAGTGTTATGTTCTCTAAAGAAGACAGTGTGGTACTTAAGGGCATATGAACAGACAGCAAGACCACTGGAACAGAATAACAAGTCCACAGTAGACTTGGGACAACGAAGATGTAGAATATGATAAAGGTAGCTTCTAAATTCACTAGGGAAAGATGGATACTTAAATAAACAGTGCTGGGACAACAGCCACTTAGAAAAAGATGCAACTAGATCCCTACCTCATACCACACACAAGAATTAATTCCACATGGATCAGAGATCTAAATTTTTAAAATGAAAGCATGTGGTTATATTCTAACAAAACTTGATCTATAAAAACAGGTAGGTGGCCTGTGGGCCATAGTTTGCTGAATATTAATACACAGAAACAAAGAAGGGTAAATTTTATATATGCATGCTTATTTTTTGTAAAAAGAAGTATAGGAAGGAGCAACCAGAAACTAATAGAGAGGTTACTTACAGGGATGGATGAGGATGAGGTGGAAGGGACAAGGATGGGAGCGAGACATCTATGAGAACACCTTTCTGTACCATTTTGATATGATAAAAAGTACACTATCACCTGTTCTTACCAAAAACCTTTAACTTGAATCTAATCACGAGGAATCAATCAGAGAAATCCAGGATGTGAGACAATCTACAAAACAACTGGCCTAATTCCTCAAAAAAGCCAATGTCTTGGGGCTGGCTTGGTGGCATAGTGGTTAAGTTCACATGCTCCGTTTCAGCAGTCCAGGGTTTGCAGGTTCAGATCCCAGGTGTGGACTTAGACACGGCTCATCAAGCCATCCTGTGGCGGTGTCCCACATACAAAATAGAGGAAGATTGGCACAGACGTTAGCTCAGTGACAATCTTCCTCATGAAAAAAAAAAGTTCAGTGTATTGGGTGGAGGTGGAGGGGGTAGTTGGAATTATCTTAGATCAAGAGACTAAAAGAGGGGCTGGCCCTGTGGCTGAGTGGTTAAGTCACGTGCTCCGCTTCGGCAGCCCAGGGTTTCACTGGTTCTGATCCTGGGCGCAGACATGGCACTGCTCATCAGGCCATGCTGAGGCAGCACCTCACATGCCACAACTAGAAGGACCCACAACTAAAATATACAACTATGTACTGGGGGGCTTTGGGGAGAAGAAGAAGAAGAAGGAAAAAAAAAGATTGGCAACAGATGTTAGATCAGGTGCCAAACTTTGAGAAAAAAAAAAAGAGACTACAAAAGACAGAATGACCAAACTCAACATGTGAACTCTGATTGGATCCTGAAGCTATAACAGACATTTTGGGGACAACTGGGGAAATTTAAATATAAACTATATCTTAAATATTATTAAATCATTATGAAATTTCTCAGAGGTGATAATGATACTGTGATTATCTGGAGAATGTCCGTAATCTTTAGAGATGCATGCTGAAGTATTTAGAGGTGAAATGTCATGACAACTGCAACTTGTTTTCAAATGATTTAGGGGGAACAAAACATGTGTGTGTGTGTGTGTGTGTGTGTGTGTGTACAGAGGGGGGCGAGGGAGGGAGGAGGAAGTGGGGAAAGAATTGGAAAAAAAATATTTTTATAGTGCTATTTTGAAGGCAACACTCCTGAAGAAAATCTGAATAAGAGTAAGGTCTATTCTTTGAGAAAAAGAAATATTTTTCCTGAGTATATCTTTAAGTAGTAAAACTGGATAGTTGGCAAATATCTTTTTTTGGTTTACCTTTCATTAAGATTTTGTGCAAGGGATTAAAGACGAAAATGATTTGTAAACCAGCAGTTACTAACAAGCAATACCACTTTGTTGAGAAGTTACATTAAGAAGCACATCGAATGCTACAATACTGATGAACTTCGAAAACATGCCAAGTAAAAGAAGCCAGTCATAAAGGACCACATCACGTATGATTCCGCTTATATGAAACATCCAAAATATGCATATCGTAGAGACAGAAAGCAGACTGGTGGCCGCCTAGGGCTGGGGAGGTTTATGGGGACATGGGAAGTGACTGCTAATGGGTATGGGGTTTCTTTGGGGGGGTGATAAAAATGTTCTAAAATTGCTTGTGGAGATGGTAGCACAACTCTGTGAATATACTACGAACAAGTGAATTGTACACTTTAAATGGTAAACTGTAAGGTATACGAATTATATCTCAATAAAGCTGTTATAAAAAATAAAAGAACACGGGAGGAAAGGGCCCGCCCCCACCCCCAGGAGCTGCTGGCACTCACTTCGACGCCTTCATGGAATCATCTGCCCAGCCTCCTTGCCGGCGGGGTGGTTTGGGAGGGGGAGCCTACAAGGAAAGAGGAGCCAAAATAACATGGTCACTCAAGCAAGCAGTGGCTGAGGTTAAGGTCACATACACCAACGTTTGACCTATCAAAACCTTTCAAAGAAAAATACAGTAACCTTTCTAATTTACTTTACTTTCTAATTAATCTTCCTAATTTCTATGAAAATCTGGGTGCTTTCACACCCTCCTGGTGGGTGTATAAATTGGAGAGATCTGGAGGGCAATTTGGCAACGCCTAATGAAAGCCTTTCAAATGCTCACCCATCTTGAGCCAGCAATTCTAATCCCAGGAATTTATCCCAAGGAAATAATCAGAGAGAAACATCATGTCGACTTTGAACAGTGGATAACCGGAATCAGCCAAAATGGACAGCAATAAGCAATTGAATAAATCATGGAATACACACATGAAAATACTACGCAACAATGAAAAGGTATGTTAAAAAAAGAATACTTAATGATATGAGTTCAATATATGCCAACTTTTTAAAACATGTTGCAAAATAGTAGGTAAATGCTTCTGATTTTGTGAAAAGATTATTAATACATAACATCTAGTGTTAATTAGTTACAAGTACACGAGTGAGAGGGGACTCCAGTGATAGAATTATGGATAATTCTTTTTTCCTTTTTTATGCTGTTGTGTGTTTTCCAATTTTATTTTTTGTAATCAACTTATATTACTTCTATAAACAGAAGAGCAATAAAATAAAGATATGAGAGAGGCTTGCTTAAAAGACACAGACTAACTCGGTGGGTTAGAAATCTACTCAAATCATCTGGGCAGGAAGCAGTCACCTGCAGTGGAGACATTCAGAAGCCCAAGTACGGGAATTCTTGGCTAGCATATCTCAGCTAAAAACATCAAGAGAATATCAACCAATCCACTGAATCACTCCAGCTGGGTAAAACAACAAAATGTATTTCCTGTTGTGAATTACCCAGTATTCACGTAGGACCGCTTTTTGAAAGACCAATTTTCTTTTTCAAGAACTGCAGAACATTATAATAGTTGTTCTCAGTCTAAGGAGGTACTTTGATAAATGGACTAAAACAGGGGTTGGCAAACTTTTTCTCTAAAGGTATAGGTGATAAATATTTTCAATTTTGTGGGCCATACGGTCTCTGTTATAACTGCTCGACTCTGATACTGTAGGGCAATAAACAGCCACAGACAACAAGTAAACAAATGGATGTAGCTGTGTGCCAATAGAACTTCACACAGACAAAAAGGGGACCAAATTCTGGCAGGAAGGAGGTGGTTTACTAAGCCCTGGACTAAAATGTGTCATCGCATCATCCTTTAAATCTATCGCTTAAAGCCTAACTGGTAACTTTTCGAGAAAACACTCCCTCGACATGCCAAAATACCTTTATACTTTTGATATTTTAATTTTAAACCAAGGTATGTTTTCTCTCCTGCTTCTCTAGTAGTATCCCAGCCTGCCAAGGACATGCTCCATCTAGATACCAGGCCTTCCTGCCAGGGGAGCCAGAACCGGCTGGAAATGACTGAGAAGAAGCCAAGTCCTGGAGTGCCTGTATCCAACTCAGCTCCTGGGAAATGTAAGCAGCACTTTAGAGGAAAGAAGAGTGCCTGTAACCAACTCAGCTCCTGGGAAATGTAAGCAGCACTTTAGAGGAAAGAAACTTGAGCGTTCTACGCTACAGGCAGGTAATGGAGCTATTCAGGGGCTCTGTGTATCTCAGTTCAAACAACAAAAATATAGAAGTGGAAAGCAAGCTACTGTCTGCCTCTATCGGGAGGAAATCCAAAGATGATGTACAAAGAGATCCCCACCATCGCTTCCCAGTCCACACATCCTTTTTTGGTGCACCTGCCACCCCACACTGGCCCATGCCCAGGCTGGAACAGGGAGCCTTATATCCAAGACCCCTCTTCCCTTAGACACAGCTGATTGAACCAGGGCACGCCAGTCTGACCCAAATGAATTCTCTGTCCCAGGAATCTAGAACTGAAGCTCAGAGGTTAAGCTGTTCAGACAGCACTGAGCATTGGAACTCGAAAGACCAGCTGGAATCAGAATAACCAAGACTAGCACAAGCCGAAATTGTGTATAAGCAGAAACCAAGAACCTTGTTTTGTTGAGTTCTTACCATGTGTAAGGTACTGTGTTGGGGAGACTTCAAATGTTAAAGAGAACTGAAGTGAAACATACTGGGCCCTCGAGGATGTTCTAAGCCAATCTGGCCCGCAGCTATCTTCCCTGTGCTTTTACGGATAACATCCCAGGTTTCTTCACCCAAGGGTAGGACCATCTTGTGGTAATGTACCTTCCTGAATTTGGAGGTCACAGACCTGTAGCCACATGTTTTGTTTGGCCAGACAGTGGGTTTTTGTTTGTTTGTTTTTGTTTTGAAATTTAAGCTACCACTCAAAAAATTGGCAGCTTTCCACACAAAACATCAGTTGCCAGCTTCTCCTGAAAAACTGAAAGATCTAGTAATGCTGGGGCTGAGTAACAGCTGCCCCTTGCAGGCAGGACATACGCATTCCATTATGCCACAGTCCCCACCCTCCCTTTTTGTCTCTTTCTGCTCAAGTCAAGTGCCAGCTGCCATCTATTACTATGCACTTGTGCTGTTCTTTCGCTTCTGGTCAGAACTCTCTCTCAGTTCTCACGTCTACTGGAAGTGAGGAAATAAAAGCTATGTCAGGTGCTTTAAGAAAAATGGGAAAGAGCATATTTCTTGGTTGGAAGGTGATCTTTTCTTACAACTCAGTGTGCAAACTGAAAGAGTGCCTGTGTCTTACCCCTAGTCCCGCTTCCCTCACCGAGGCTACCCGCCTGGCCCCTGTAGGCACCTGGGTGTGGGGTCCCTGAACTAGACTCAAGGCTGGGCTCCTCTGCTTTCCTCTCTTTGCTCTGGATGTTGGGAAGTACAGAATGAACCAAGCAAATCCATGGTGCCATGAAGTCAGGAGGGCCCGAGTCTATACGGCGCTTTCCCATGGCTGTAAGATGCTAAGAGCCCACAAGAAGAAAGGAAGGAACCTGGGTGGCACCAGCAACGTTCCTCAACCTGTGTCTTCTGATACCACGTCTGCTGTCTACCATGGGGTGTGGGTTACAATGGTGACAGGAGGAGCAGAGACTGAACGAGAAGGGGATTGTGGGAGATTAGGCAGCATGGAAAAGCAGCATAAGCGACATCAACTTAAGTTAAAATGCCCTCCTTTAAGTAACTGCTAAACTGTTGAGGGATTAAATTAGTGCCCAGATGGTAAGTGCCTAGAGCAGTGCCTGGCACATAATAAGTACCATAACTTTACTGTCCTCATCATCGTCATCATCCCTACTGTCAATACACGAAAGGTTAGATCACAGTAAATATGATATTAAAATATACTACCATTTGGAAAAAAGAAAAAGAAAAAAAAAAGATTCCTTTGAGCCTGGCCTGAGCTGTCACTTTGATTACTAGTGGACATCACATGGTTAATGAAGATCCCAAAGATCCTAAAAAGCAAAATGATCTGTTTTCCCTTCTTTAACCACCTACCCCAGGAAGCTGTGGCTATTGGGGGATGACTGAAAATCCTTTCTGCCTAGAGGTAACACAAAGACGTGTTTCTCTCATGTTCTTCCCATTAGGAAATGGTACCACCTGCTAAATAGGACGGGGGCTTCAAAACAAAAAGGTCACCACAGAAGAGTCACTCCTCCACAGCCAAGAGAATTTAACAACTAATCCCCAAATCAAAGGTTTTTGGCACTCGTGACTGAAGACTTCAGGTGCTGACACAATGTTGTAAAACTGTGTAAGCTACTTTTCGTTGAGATCTCCCAGGAGAGGAAGAGTTACAAAGAAATCCTCTCTGCGAAATGGGGCAGAGGCTGAAGCGGTCCCCCAGCTCCCCACTGGAAGTCTTGGTCAACCTCAGTAGAGAGCACTGAGGCTGATGGGAGCCGGGAGGGGCAGGCAGAACTTAACTCTCCTCAAAGTAGGGCTTGGGCATCTAGTGGGAGATGTCCCCTTCCTGATGGGGAATCCTTATGTTCATGATTTGGTACTCTGAGTCCAAGGATAAGAAATTTTTTTTGTAGATGTTCCCTACTTTGAGTCTTGTCATGGCCACACACAAATACCCTGTCTGGATGAGAGAGACTTAATTAACCACTATTACCAAGTTATAAAGTCTCCTCCCCGCAGTTCAACTCTGTTCCCCATGTGGGGAATGGGACACTGTCCTGTGTGCACTGGTTGAGATGGAAAAAGCAGATGTCACCTCTGTCCTCCAATGTTACACCGTTCAATGAGGCTGAGAAGAGGCAGAATTCAGGGTGTATCAGGTCTCCATGAAATCTATGTGATTGGACGTCAGGCTTTATCTGAAACCTAAGAGGCCACGTTGGAGGTGGGAGGTAGGCATCAAGGATGGAGGTACTGAGAGTCGTTCCAGGGAGAGGCTGCATCCAGGGCCCAAGGGTGAAGCTGAGGAGGAATCCCTCAGCCAAAGGGCAGTTCCACTAAATTTTGCAGTTTTCTTGTCACCTTTGGTGGTTTTTATTGGGCCACTTTCTCTTTGGGTAACATTAAAACAGGGCTCTGACAAGCAAGCATAAGCTTGCAGTACATGACTGAAGGCTAAACAGAATTGTACCAACCAATTTGGGGAGTGCTGAGGACAGAAGAGGTCAAGGAAGCTTTATGGGAAAAGTGGGCTTGCCCTAGATTGGAAAGGTAAGCAGAGACGAAAAGGAAAAGCATTCCAGCAGCAACCAGACCCCAGGTGTAGTGATACCAGGATAGCATATAACACTCGGGCTGCAGCAAATGCGGTTAGATGACATCACATTGGTAGGAGTCCCTGAGAAAACTGTTCGGGGGTCTGAGACCGTGAGCATCTATTACTTTACAGTGCAGGCCAGAAGTGGAAGCTGATGCAATTTGATCATAATGCAGTAGTTTAAAATTAGGTGCAAATGATCTGTTTGAAATGTAAGCAGATGACTAGCTTTTAGCAATATAATTTA